GAATCACTTCTGGATGGTTTGTTTTTGATTATATTCCACATGAACGCTATTCTATGACAGATAGTCTTGAGCAATGGTTTTAATCAATTGCAAAGGTTATTCTGATTTTATGAACAAACATTAGTCTATCTTGTCTTTTAGGTTTCAGTCACTCGTGGATAGATTGTGTAGATACCAACCACCAATGACAAAGGTTAATTGATTTCAGAGAAATAGGACACAGGAACCCAATGAAGAGCCAATCCCTGATGTTAATGAGCTCAGGGTAAACCTCACACAGAAGCAGGAAGCAATATAGTAAGGTCGTTGTGCCACCTATGTGTAACAAACATGAGTAATGTGGGTTTATTTTACTTGAAGATCTTTGGTGGTTTTATATACGGTTAAAACTAGTACAAACAGGACAGAGTAATCTTTAGACACATCCTTTGTCTCCAGTGCTACAATGCAGAGTGGTCCTGGCCTCTGGTTGTGTGATACTACCTGGGCATTTGACTCATTTGCATGTTCAGCTTCTTAAAGGGATATCATGTTTAAAGCAAAAGTGATACAAGCTTTTCACAACAGCTGTTTGAAATATCATGAAGCACCAGAATTTGTGGGTGCCATTGATACATTTACAACCAGCACTGCTACAGTAATCACAGGTAATCTTAAAAGAGACACATACAGGCTACAAAACACAAAGCTAATGCAAGACCTCAAAGGGCGCACAGGGGCATAGAACTGATTCCTTCTCAATGTGACCTGCAGTAACAATACAATATACTCTTGTAGGTAAAATTGCCTCTCATGGGTGATGCTGGGCTGGAAGGAAAAGGCTTCAGTCCTTGTTCAGCACTTACAATCTTTCACTATTTCTTTGTGTCATGACTGGTGATGCATTCATGGGAGTAAGGTCCAATGACAAAGTCCCAAGTAGTCAGTCCATGGCCCTGATGTCAGAGGGCTCCATTGCAATGGCTGATGGATCCAACCACATCCGGGGTTATTGTTGCTATAATGCAACAAAAGGTACAGAGAAATGGAAGAGGAACAGATGCTCCAGCAAGCCCAGGACCAGCAATAACCTCTAGCAGTTATCAAACAGCCTCCATGTGAGGAGGTTGCAGCTGAAGGTCCTGTCAGGACTCACAGAAGACACAGAAACTCCAGAATGTTTCAAGCTCTATGTCATTTCCTCCAGATGACTGCTATACCATGTCGGTGCAGACAGCAGATGTCCTGGAACACTGTCACAAAACTATGTCAATTATTGAATCAGAACCTGTGACTTAAAGGAGTGGGTGGTTATCCTATCCTGATAGCTGTCAAGGTGACAGCTGTATTGAACTGTTTTGAAATTGCATTGAACTGTTTTGCAACTGCATCCTCCCAGAGATCCACTGGAGACCTGTTTGAGATCTCACAATCATCACCCACAAATACACCAGGGCTGCAACTGATGCTGTTTGTTTCAGATCACACAATTAATTTCATTCCCCCTTAACAAGACCAATTGTGTGGTCTGGGCTGTAGGGTTCATCTGCATAGCTAGCTTCCCCCAGATATGGGGCCCGATAGACTGTACACATGACCTGTTGAGGTGGCTATTTCATGTTGCTGCTGAGCTCATAATAGAAAAGAGTTCCAGGACTCCATTCCATCAGTGTGCAAGTGATCTATGATAATTGGTACCACTTCTTAGAAGTTTGCGGCCAGCCCAGGGAGCTGCTATGATGCCAATAGCTTTGAGAAATCTTACTCCTGCTCTGTTTGAGATCCAGACATCTTGAAAAGAGGGTTTCTGGGGTTAAGGGCTACATGTTACGACTGTAACTGATGACTGTTACTCAACCTGCTGACTGAATGAATTGGAGCTGGGTGTAATGATTGAATATTGCCTGCAAAATTGCTGTTGCTCAACATGCAAGTAGTTCACTTTTATTCTTAGAGGCAAAAGCAAATTCTGTTTGGTAGATTTCTGTTCACCTTTTGCATTGGAAAATAAAGGTGAATGTTTTGCAGACCAAGAGCAGAATCTACTGCAACTGCTAGAGAGAGCTCACAAAATAAGCCTGAAACGGAACAAGAAAAATTAAATTATTGAAAATGTCTGATGTGAAGTACATGGGCCATATACTGACAGTGAAATAACTTTGTTTGGATCTTGACAAGGTGAGAATTGTAACAGGGACCAACAGGTGTGAGAGTAGTGCAACGATTTGTTGGATTTGTGAATTGCAGTGCCACAACGATGCCACCCGAAGGTTGCAGGAACAGCAACTCATATTCCGCTTGGGAACCCTGCAGCCCAATGGTATCAATGTGGACTTCACAAGCTTCAAAATCTCCCCTCCTGCTACTGCATCCCAAAACCAGCCCAGCTCGTCCCCGCCTCCCTAACCTGTCCTTCCTCCCAGCTATCCCCTCCTCCCACCTCAAGCCCCACCCCCATCTCCTATCTACTAACCTCATCCCGCCCCCTTGACCTGTCCATCCTCCCTGGACTGACCTATCTCCTCCCTAACTCCCCACCTACACTCACCTTTACTGGCTCCATCCCCGCCTCTTTGACCTGTCTGTCTCCTCTCCACCTATCTTCTCCTCTATCCATCTTCTATCTCTCCCTATTTATTTCAGAATCCCCTTCCCCTCCCCCATTTCTGAAGAAGGGTCTAGGCCCGAAACGTCAGCTTTCCTGCTCCTCTGATGCTGCTTGGCCTGCTGTGTTCATCCAGCTCTACACCTTGTTATCTCAGATTCTCCAGCATCTGCAGTTCCTACTATCTCTGGCAAAATTCTTGTCTAATTTGTCACCACAGTGAAAAATCAATGCTAGCCTACGACAGTAATAGTGGATCACAGAACACAAAGAAAATTTTATAAGAAGCAAACAACTAGTGATGACACGACACAAATTACAGAATGACCATCAGTCCCAGAGGTCCCCTCTTTCCCAACAAAGGCATTGGATCAGCCACAACAATTACCATGGCAACAGCACTTGCTACAAGAAAGACATTCCTCGATGAAGGATCACCAGTCCAGTAACTAGCTGATAGCAAATAAATAGCCTTACAGAGGGCAAGAATAGAATGAAAAAATAATTTTTGTTAATGAGTTTTAATTTTCTTTATGAACCATAGAATTTGTAATTGCAAGTGTAATTACTTTTGGCATTTTTGACGAGAATAGGCGTGTTTGGAGAAGTACATTTGTCTATTGTATTCGGCCTTGCCAGAGTCATGTGACCCCCCAAAGTAAGTACTTTTCTATTTAGGCAGCAGCCATTGAACCCTCCACAATAAGCTGGCAATCTGTTCTTTTAAACTGGTCTGCAATTTTGAATCAATGTAGTGGGTCGGATCTCAAACAGCAGCGAGACAGACTACAGGAAAGAGATAGAGAGCTCAGCGGCATGGTGTAAAGACAGCAATCTCTCCCTCAATATTAGCAAAACAAAGGAGCTGGTCATCGACTTTGGAAGCAGAGTGGAGGAGACACACCTGTCTGTATCAATGATGCTCAGGTAGAGGTGGTTGAGAACTTCAAGTTCCTAGGAATAAATGCCACCGATGTATCCTGGTCCATCCACATTGACGCTACAGTCAAGAGAACACACCAACACCTAAACTTCTCAGTAGGCTAAGGAAATTCGGCATGTCCACAATGACTTTTACCAATGTTTATAGGTGCACTGTAGAAAGAATCTTATCTGGATGTATCACAGCTTGGCATGGCAACTGCTCTGCCCAAGACCACAAGAAATTAGAGAGATGTGAACGCAGCCCAGTCCATCACACAAACCAGCCTTCCTCTCATTGACTCCATTTACACTTGCTGCTTTCTTTGGGAAAGCAGCTAACATAATCAAGGACCCTTCCCATTCCAGTTAAACTCTATTCCACCCGCTTCCAAAAGGCAGAAAATACAATAAGTTTGAAGACATATACTAACAGATTTAAGAACAACTTGTTCACCACTGTTATAGAATCATAGAATCCTAATAGTGTGGAAGCAGGCCACTCAGCCCATCCGACTTTCCGAAGATCGTCCCACCCAGACCCACCCCACTACCCTGTCCGTGTAACCCTGCATTTCCCATGGCTAATCCGCCTCACCTACACATTCCTGGACATTGACAATTTTGCATGGCCAATACATCTAACCTGCACATCTTTGGACTATGGGAGGAAACCAGAGTGTCTGATGGAAACCCGCACAGACACAGGGAGCATGTGCAAACTCCGCACAGACGGTCTTGAGGCTGGAATCGATTCCTGGTCTCGGGTGCTGTGAAACAGCAATGCTAGCCACAGTGTCACCCTGATATCTGACTTATGAATGGACCTCTCATATTATAGTTGATGTTTCTCTGCACTTTCTATGTAGCTGTAACATCATATGCTGTTCTATTACCCTGACGTACTTATGTAAGGTTTGATTTTTCTGGTTAGCAAGCAATACAATACTTTTCACTGTATCTCAATACATGTGACAATAAAAATAATCAAAAGCAAAATCTTTTCAAAAGAAGCGATAACAAAATATTGCATTTGAATACTCATGAACTATGTACAGCAATTGTGGGTCTACCTAAAGCAAAAGGCACTTTCTTAAGGGCAATTAGGGGTAGGCAATAAATGCTGGCCAACCAGCGAAGCCAAAATTCCGAATAGAAAAAAAATGCACACAATAAAAATTATTCCCATCAATTCTGATTATCAGCAGACATTGATAGTGGGTGGGGGAAATGAAAAGGTAACATAGTATCAATCCTGAAACATTTATTTTCTTATCTTCAGGACAAGGTCACTTTTCCTACTGTTAGGCTGATATCTGATTTGTGTACATATGATAGAACAAATGTAAGACCATGTTACACCAGCAATTTCAAGTAGTGACTGAAAAGTTGGCTTTGCCAGGGTTCCTATTTATGAGTCATAGATATAAAGCCGTTTAACATTCTCTTTAGTGCTCATACCCAGTTGGAGGCTGTGTAGCTTGTATATCGACGAACCAGTATGGAACTACTACACATTGCTTTCTTTACCATTCAGCTGTTATGTTTAAATGTTGTATCACCACCAGTAGCTTTAGCTAAATCACTTCCAGATATTTTATTCGAGCCCATCCCTTGTGATAATCCAGATGTTCTAGCTGGTGTAGATTTCTCTCTTCGCAAATTAAATGCCAACCTGAAAAGTGGCTATAAATTTGCTCTTCACTATGTCTTCAGGGCTAGAGCAAAGGTAAGCAAATTTTTTACTTCAATGTTGTGTAATATTTGTATACAGTTTGTAGTAATATTTCTCCTTGTATTATGACATCTAAATGTGTTTTCTGTCTCTTTTGGAGAATATTTTGAGCCTATATATGTATGTTGTCAGGTTTTTAGTTTCTTTGACAGATCATTTGGAAAAGATTCATCACTTACATCTTCCCATTACTTTGCTTCTGGTCAATACATTCACTAGATAGTAGCTGAAATCAGGAATTTGCTTGTGGAAATAATATAGACAAACATATTTTACAGAGCTATACACAGTGTATTAGAACTCCAATGTACCACACCAGTACAAAGCACCTCTATGCTTCACCAGAATGGTGTCCAATGTATTATATCTCCATATTGGATCACCATACTGCATCACTGACTCACTATTCAGTGATCCATAACTACTTAGAATGAATTCAAGTTCTGAAAGTTAGCACAAAGCAGTTTCAATTTGGTGGTTTATTATACTGTAAAGAAAGAAACAGTCAAAAAATCATTGTCCTCTGGTGTAAATATTGCAATCTGACTTGCAAGAATAATATACTTAGACTTGATTTGTCTGGTCTCATATGGGACAATAGGCAGCAAGATTCTGCCACCAGTCTCAATCCATTGCAATGTCTTTCATGTCAGTCCAGTCTCCTGTTCTCAAAGCTCCTCCTTAAAATGTACTTTTCTAGGTCTTCTCTAGCTAACCCCCTTCCTTTTCCATATGTTGGTGCCCTTTCTACTGCTGTGCAAGCACAATGTACATTTAGAAGGCAGAATACATGTCTTGATAGCCTTAGTCTCTCTGTCACGATTCCCTCTAATCAGTCCTCTGAAGCACTTCCAAAATGCCTAGGTGCCCATAAAAATAACTATGAATAGACCGGCTTGAGGTAATAGATTGACCTGTCATGGCCTAGGTTTTCAGTTCAAATCACATTAGTTCATCAGCTTAACTTGAGTGGATTTGGAGCTAATTTCATCCTATGTTGGTCTTACCATCCTATCATGGTCTCACATATGTTCTATCATATTTCCCTGTCATTTTAGTGATTCCCCTCCACGTGGAAGACATATCCCTGCAGAGGAAGGGAGATGAAAATGATCTAATCTAAGAAACTTTTTGATATTTGTGTCATGGCAGTCAGGACTGCCAGACAGGCTAGATAGCAGAAATTTATGGAGCCTGCCTAACTGCAATTAACTTGGAATTCCTTGTTATAAACTGGCCTTTTGCTGCCAGCTGCACTGATGTCAGACAGAGATGAAAAATGTTCTCTCTCAGAGGGTTGAGTGTTTTTGGAATTTCTTCTTCAACAAGGCAGTGGATGCAGAACTTTGTAATATTTTTAAAGCGGTTACCAGCGGGATGAAAGATTAATGGGGGTTATGCAGGAATAGAGTTGAAGTTAAAATCAGATCAGGCACGATCTTATTGAATGGCAGAACTAGCTTGAAGGGACAAGTTTTTGAATCAACTTCCTGTTCCTGGTCTTTATGTTCATATTTAACCTGAGCATTAGAAGCCAGCAAAACCTAATTGGTCACCTTTTAGATGCCCACTGAAATGACCTAGTAAGCCACATAGTTGCACCTAACTGCTGCAAAGTCTGTCAAAAGAATATCAAACAGACGGTCCAGATGGCATCAAGCAGAATACCCAAAATAGTAACGGCACACATGGCCTTGTCAATCCTGCAGTGTCCTCCTTACTAACATGTGCCAAAATTGGGAGAACTATCCCATGGAGAAGTTAAACAACAGGCTGACATAGTCATTTTAAGAATTGCGCTTTACAGACACATCTGACACACAACTATCACCATGTTGTGCCTAACCGGTAGAACAGACACATTAGAGATGGTGGCACAGTAGTATGCGGTTGGGAAGGAGTTGCCTTGGCAGTCATGGACATATATTCTGGACCTCAAAGCCTCTTGGGATCAGATCAAATATGGGCACGGAAGCATCCTAATGATTACCACCTACACAACTGCCATGCTCCTCAGCTGCTGAATCAGTTTTCCTCCACGTTGAGCAAAACTTGGAGAATGCATTGAGTGCGACAAGGACACAGAATGTGCACTAAGTGGGACAGGTTTTAGACAAGGAAGGGTTATTTGGAGCAAAGAAAATCTAAGCTCAGTTGTACAGAGGCTCTAGGAAAAGGCCACCAGATTCTCAAGACTGGGAGTTGAATCTGCTGCTAAATCAATCTCTATAGGGTTGACAGAAAAAATTTTTTCCCTAGTGCGAGTTCTTCGAAGGTGTATTAGCGGGATTGTATTTTACCATGTGTTTTGAAATCTTTAAATTTACATTATATGTAAATAACTTGTTTGATTCTATTTCATCTTCTTTGTTTTTGTAATGAACATTTGATTTATTTTAAAACCAAACCAGCAGCATTACACACTTGCATTTGTGACAGACAACTTTGGTACACCCAGAAAAAATAAAATATGATCTGTCCAGCTGGATTTCAGTTTGGGTCTGATTTATCCAGTGGTAACATCAGTTGGCATTATAACAGCACTTATATGTACTTGTACATGGACAGATATTCGTCATTCTGACTTTGAAATATGTCACCATTCCCTCAGTGTTGCAGGGTCAAAATCCTGGAACTCCCTCCCTAATGCTTTATGGGTCTCTCTATACCAAATGGACTGCAACAATTCAAGAAGGCAGCTCCCCACCACTTTCTCAAGGACAATTAGGGATTAGCAATAAATTCTGGCTCAACCAGTGATGCCCACATCCCGTGAATGGATTTAAAAAAACCTGATGTTTCCTCCAAATTGTACTCCACCTCTCAGTACATCGAGATGTTCATACTGTTGTTTCTTATTTCAAATGGTCCAAATTCCACTTTAGTGTCAAATGGTTTGCTTGTTTAATTTATTCCCATAGTGTAGTTTCCTATTTTCTTTGTTACTGTTGGCACAGTGGCTCAGTGGTTAGCACTGCTTCCTGACAACACCAGGAATCCAGGTTTGATTCCACCCTTAGGCAACTGTCTGTGTGGAATTTGTACATTCTCTCCGTGTCTGTGTGGGTTTCCTTTGAGTGCTCCGATTTCCTCCCACAGTCCAAAAATGTGCAGGTTAGGCAGATTGGCCATGCCCGTAGTGTCCAGAGATGTGTAGGTTAGGTGGGTTAGCCATGGGAAATGCAGGGTTACAGGGATGTGTTGGGTCTGGGTGGGATGTTCTTCAGAAGATTAGTGCGGACTCAATGGGCTGAATGGCCTGGTACCACACTGGAGGGATTCTATGAAGTAATGAATCCTGGCATGTGAAAGGCATACCAATAGAGGGGTATTTTGGAAATAGTGACCACAACACTGTTAGATTTAGAACAGTTATGGAAAAGGACAATGATAGGCCAGGAATAAAAGTTCAAAACTGGGTGAAGGCTAAGTTTACTAAGATAAGATAGGATTTGGCTGAAATGGAATGGGAGCAGCTATGGCCAGGTGAAACTGTGTCAGAGCAGTGGAAGGCACTTCAGGATGAAATAGTGAGGCTACAGGGCAAATATGTTCCTGTAAAGACAAAGGGTGGAACCAAGACCAGAGAACCCTGGATATCAAGGGACAAGAAAGGCTACGAATAAGAAGGCTCAATATGGCAGAGTCCCTGAAGGAGTATAAAAAGTGCAGAGGGGAACTTAGAAGGAAAACTTGGAAATCTAACGGAGTAATGAGAAAGCAGTGGTGGCTTGAATAAAAGGAAAGCAAAGGAAATTTTAAAAAATACAAACAGCAAGTAAATAGTTAGGGAAAGAGCTCATTAGGGACCATAGAGGTAATCTGTGTGAGGACCTAGAAGATGGTCCTCGGTGAACAGTTTACATCAGTTTTCACAATGGAAAAGGCCAACACAGGTTGGCCATGAGGGATCTTAACACAAGCCTTACTAAAATCCATGTAGACCATATCAAATGCATTACCTTCATCAACACTGCTGGTTACCTCCTCAAACGTTTGATCAAAGTTGCCACAAATGACCTTCCTGTAACAAATCCATCAGGATAGAGCACTATTAAATAAAAGAAGAAACTAACAAAGAGAGGTGATACATGTGAATTTAGCAGCATTACAAATGGATAAATCCATTGGCCTTGGTTGAGGTGTATTCCAGGTTAGTGAATGAGGCAAGGAAGGACATTTCAGGGGCCTTGATAGTAATTTTCAAGTCCTTTCAGGTGAGCTGCCAGAGGTTGGAGGACTGTGAATGTCATCCCATTATTAGGAAGGGATAAACCAGGAAATTACAGGCCTGGTCAGTAGTGGGAAAGTTTAGAAAGAATTCGGAGGACAAACTATATCTGCACCTGGAGAGGCATAGATTAACGAGGATAGCCAGCATGGATTTGTTACAGGAAGGTCATTTGTGGCAACTTTGATCAAACGTTTGAGGAGGTAACCAGCAGTGTTGATTAAGGTAATGCATTTGATATGGTCTACATGGATTTTAGTAAGGCTTGTGTTAAGATCCCTCATGGCTAACTGGACATGAAAGTAAGAGTCCATTGGGTCCATAGCAAAGTGGCATGCTGGATCCAAAATTTGAAGAGAGTCAGGAAGCACAAGGTGACCGTTGAAAGATGTTTCTGTGATTGGAAAGTCTGTTTTCATTAGGGTTCTGCAAGGCATGGTGTTCGGGCCCCTGCTGCTCATTAATAATTTGCACTCAAATGAAACAGATTGACACAAATGCTTTCAGGATGGTAAGTAGTCAGGGATTAACTTTAAACTACAGGAGGATATCCATGACTCGTCAAGTGGGCAGGGCAGTGGCAAATAGCATGCAGCCCAGAAAAACGTGAGGTAATGCACTTGGAGAGTGCTAACAAAGCAAAAGGATTTCACTGACTGACAGGACCCTAGGATTAGAGGGACCATGGTGTGCATATCCACAAATCCCTGGAGGTGGCCAAGACAGCATATGGAATATTTATCTTTATTAGCTGAGGCATGGAGCAGTGAAGGTTGTGAGGGAACCTAAATGAGGTGTGTTATGTTGTGAGGGTCACAGAGATGTTAGTTAGGAAGGCACTTTTCATTTAGTAGACGGGTCAATAACCAGGAAACAAAGATTTAAGCAAAGAAGTAGAGGGCCAAGAGGAGAGTTGAGGAGGAAAAAATGTTTTCAGCTAGAGTGTGGTGGGAGTCTTGCTGCTTGAAGGAGTGGTTGATTCAAAAACTTGCCTAACATTTAGGCAGTATTTAGATATTCAGTTGCATTGCCATAGCTTCAGGACTGTGGACCAAGAGTTGGAAAATGGTATTAGTGTAACTAATCTTTGTGGACTAATGTGGGCATGATGTGCTGAATGGCCTCCATCTATACTGTAAATAGCTACAAGGCTATAAAAATCTTTCCTACTTAACATTTAAATGACTGAAAATCCCCTCCATAATTATACCATGTTCCTTAAGTGAGTATTTAATTCTCCAGGTACTAGTCTGAAGCTGCTTTCATCTCCCAGTGGCCTGCTTTCTTTTTTTTTATTACAGCCCTGCAATTTCGAACTCGCGAACTATCTTTCACAGTGAGAGTTATGCTGGAGATAGCTTCCTCTAGCCAAAGCTAGATGAATCTTCAAGCCTCATTGCAAATCTTCTCACCCTGGTTTCTTCAATCCAAATGCAAGTTCCAATGTAATTTCTGCTGACTGTGTCTAACTCTTTGTTCTCTTTCATAGATCCTCACAAACTGACATGTCTGACAGATTCAGGGATAACATAAAAAATCCTCTAAATCAATCCTGCAACAGCCAATTATAGCCTGTTCTCCTCTCACAAGCCTATCTCAATGGCAATGTGCATGGTGTAATGACATTTGTGTAAACCATGATAATAAAACTGATCATATGATTCAGACATTGGTAAACTAGCGGTGACCAGTCTAGAACAAGCACAAGGGAGAGGGCTTAGACTCTGTGATAGATCTTTATTTGATAACCTGTTTTATACACATGTAAATAAAGGGTTGTTGCAATACCTAAGGAGTTGAAGAGCTTTTCTTATAGGTAGAAGTAAGGAGCAAACATCTTCAGGGACACTGTACGTGCAGGCAACCACAGCCCAGAGATACTCCAGACTGGTATCTCAAAATGCAAGTAACAATATTGGCTTAAAGCACAGGATAAAGCAACATGAATCTATATGTCTTGTCTAATGTTAGAAAAATGAAATAGTTGTCTTTCCAGCTCCCAACTTCTTTTAATCTCCAGTTAAACAGGCACTTTAAATATAACCGTTTATAAAGCCTTACACTCCTGTAAGACAAGGAGGCCAATAGTTTACCCACTGTTAGCACAACTACTCTGCTCGTTGTTTAGAAGTGTGAATACTTTATACCTTTTATCCTGTAAAGAAATCTGGGCCTCACTGTCTCGATATGAAACAAGACATCCTGGCTTACTGTCTTCTCTACTCCATTCTACATTACACAGATTGTCCCAATAATTAACATATTTATAATCTTTGTACATCACATTTGAATACTTTAAACAGGACACTGTACAGTTTGCTGTATAATTTCTATTACTTTGACAGTTCTATTGCCGAGTACATTAAATTACAAATTAGAGTAAGTTTGTATCAATATTTTCAAGTCTCGATGAACTCAAAATGTTAAAAACAGGTTCTATATGAATTTAATTTCATTGTTTAAACTGAAGCATCAAGAATTCTTACTGACAGAAATTTGTTATTCACAGGAATTACAAGGAAAACTATATGGTATTGAATATTTTATCCAAGAAACAGAGTGCCCAGTTGGAAATGAAACAATCTGGAAAGAATGCAATGTCAAACCACATGCAGCAACTGTAAGTTTTCTGATTATCAAATCTGAAAACACCAACAACAAACACTTGCAACAATCCCAAAATTGTACGATTAATATATATCTCATTCCAAAAAATCTTGAGATATAAGTTACACATCAGCATGATGGCACGGATATAGGGTTTAATCAAAATAAAGACTTTGATGTCTGATTGATTCCTTTATATGTAAGTTGTAACCTTTTTCTTCATTCTGATATTTGTTTTTAGACTATGGGTCACTGTTGGTTGAAAATGTTCATCGATAAAGTCAAAAGAATTGCTGAAGCGACTGAATACAATTGCACATTAAATTCAGGTCTGATAACCTACTAAATGCAATTATAGCGTACTGTTTAAGTATAAGTTATGTCTCATTTTCAGGTGCACAATTGATGGTTCGCGTGCTAGAATGATCTAAATGATCTTTAGGGCTACATCAGAATACTTTGGGTGAAGATGCACTTTCTGTCCTAATCCTCAGATGATCATCCATTCTGAGCAATCATTTTCAGGCTGACTGTCTTGCAAGCAGTAGTCTAGCTAAGTGACAGAGTATTCCCCCAGGACTCACGGTGACAGATAAGTGCAGAACAGATGATTGGTCAGAATGCAAAGAACAGAGAATAACTAGAACATAATCAGGATTAATAAATTAGAGCATAAGAGGAAGCTAGAAATATTTAAAAAAAACAGACAACAAGGGTTCCTATACGAATCTAAAGAGGAAAAAGATGTTAAATGAGTGGTGGTGCTCTAGTATAAGGATAGAGAGTTAATAGTACATAATAAAAAAAAAGGTGGATGTAATACATAAATGTTATGCTTCCGTCACTGTAGAGGGTACACAAAACATCTCAGCAACACCAACAAATCTGTAGGTTAAAGAAAGACAGTGTGAGGACTGTGTTATTTTAGTTTCTTTTTAAAAGCACCATGGACTGTAATGAGAAAGAGCTGCTTTAAAATCAGTGTTTAAAAGAATGGCTGTATATTTTGAAATCCAGTAACCTTACTGCCACTGCAGACATCATGTAAACAATTGTATGAGCAAGCAGTAAATTAGATTGGATTGCAGTTGATTTGAAGCCAAGGGGGTGTACTGATACAGCTTTGGTTGGCAACAAGAGGTTGATTGGTTTATGGACTAGTGACCAGTTATCAATGACAGAGTCTGCCAATACTGTGAGATTAGTTCTCAAACAACTGAGCAGCTTGGAGCTGGGAACAATTACTGAGAGAGAGAACGTAGCTCAGCAGCATTTTCTCATTGTCTGCAGTCAAAACTTACTTGAAATCTGAAGAAACCATTTTCTCTTCCTGTAAAGGCTGTGTAAACTGTGAATTTTAACTGAAAAGTCAAAGACTTTTTATAAGTGAATCAGCTACTTTGTGTCTCTTACTAACCAGTGGAAGCAAACAGAGAAAGACAATGAAGATTGCCAGCAGAAGAATCATAAAGCTCATCTCAGTCATAGAACCAAGGAACAAAGACTACTGATCTGTCTTCCCAGTATTTTCCCCTCCAGCCTAATAACCCAATTTCCCTGTTCATTTGTCTGTCTGTATGTAAAGTAAAGTTTACAAGGGGATTAGACTTCTAATTTGTGGTGTAATGTCCTGATGGTTTCTAAGTGTTTACCTGTAACTAGAGTCCAATTACTTTAAATAAGTAATTAGTGTGCAGTACAGAAACCTGATCCATGCTTTCTATCGACTTCAGTTTGAATGGTAGCCAAATTCGGAATGATTGCATACCTTATAAAAATTTTTAACTTTTGTAATGTCTTTGGGAATAGCAGGGCTTGATTTCCAGCATGTTACGCCAGTGAAGCGTAACAAGAAGAACTTGATGAAATCATACTCATTCACAAACTGATGGGGCTGCAGGTTAATAAGTCGCTGGGTCCAGATGGACTTTATCCTTGGGTCTTAAAAGACGTGGCTAATGAGATAGCAGATATATTGGTGTTAATTTTCCAAAATTCATTAAGTTCTAGAAAGGTTTCTTTGGACTGGAAAATAGTAAATATAACCTTTTATTCAAGAAAGGATAGAGGCAGACATGGGAAGCTATGGGCCAGTCGTTATGACTCATTGGAATAGCATGCTGGAAGTTGAGCTACATCTCAAACAATGGTGGCTAAGTGGTTAGCACTGCAGCCTCACAGCACCAGGGACCCAGTTCGATTCCAGCCTCGGGCGATTGTCTGTGTGGAGTTTGCACATTCTCCCCGTGTCTGTGTGGGTTTCCTCCGGGTGCTCCGGTTTCCTCCCACAGTCCAAAGGTGTTCAGGCTAGGTGGATTGGCCATGCTAAATTGCCCATAGTGCCCAGGGATGTTTAGGTTAGGTGGATTAGGGATGGGAAATTAGGGGAATGGGTCTGGGTGGGATGCTCTTTGGAGGGGTGGTGTGGACTTGTTGGGCCGAATGGCCTGTTTCCACACTGTAGGGATTCTATGATCAATAACTGCTTGTTCAAACAAACATTTACATGATGCCATGCATGGGTATCTTTGAAGGAGTAACATGAGCTCTGGATTTTATTGTGATTTCCAGAAGGCATTCGACACAGTTCCACATAAAACATTATTGCATAAAGTAAGAGCTCATGACACTGAGGCTAACACGCTATCATAGATAGAAAGTTGGCTGCCTGGCTGGCAGAAAACAAGGTATGTATATAAATGAGTCTGATTCATAATTGGCAGCTTATGAAAATTGAGGACCTGTGCTGTGCACTCAAAATTTTACAATTTAATTCAATGACTGAGATGAAAGGATTGAAGGCACGGTGGTTAAGCATGTTAATGACACAAAGATAAAAGTTTGTGGGTTGCTAGCCTTTTTTTTAATGAGAGGAATTGAAAATAAAAGAAAGAACATTATTCTTCAGTTATACAGGGTATTAGTGAGAACACATATCGAATACTGTGTAAAGTTTTGGTTTCCTTATTTAAGAATGTAAATACATTGGGCATTGTTCAGAAGAATTTTACTAGGTTGATATCTGGAATGAGCAGATTGTTTTATAAGAAAAAATTGGATTATCTGGCTTGTTTTCATTCAGTAGTGGAATTCCGCAGGGACCTGTGTTGTGACCACAACTATTTACATTTTACAATAACAATCTGGATGAAGAAACTGAGGGCATTTCTGCTAAGTTTGCAGATCATACAAAGATAAGTGGATGGATGGCAAGTGTTGAGGAAGTGGGGAGGCTGAAGAGGACTTGGACAGGCTAGCAGAGTGGGCAAAGAAGTGGCAGATGGAATATAATGTGGGAAAGTGTGAGGTTGTACACGTTGGTAGGAAGAAAAGAGGTGTAGACTATTTTCTAAATGGGGAAGGGCTTTGGAAATCAGAAACACAAAGGGACTTAGGAGTCCTTGTTCAGGATTCTGAAAAAAATTAACAAGCAGGTTCAGTTGGCAGTTAGAGAGGTAAGTGCAATGTCAGATTCATTTCAAGAAGGCTACAACCACAACAGCAGAGACTGTACAAGGCATTTGGAATATTGTTGACTGTTTTGGGTCCTGTATCTAAAGAAGAATTTGATAGTGATGGAGGGAGTCCAGGGGATGTTTACAAGACTTATCCTGGAGATGAAAGGCTTGTCATATGAGAAGCAGTTGAGGACTCTGGGTCACTCCTCCGTGGAATTTAGAAGGATGAGGGGGAATCTGATTGAAGTTTACAGAATACTGAGAGGCCTGGATAGCACGGACATGGAGAAGATGTTTCCATTAGTAGGGGCCTGAGGAACAGCCTCAGAGTGAAGGGACAGCCCTTTAGAAATGAGATGGGAAGGAATTTCAGAAGGTTGGTAAACTGTGAAACTCATGGCCAGAGCATAATGTGGAGGCCAAGTCATTGACTGTATTTAAGACAGAGATAGATAGGTTCTTGATTATTAAGAGGATCAAGAGCTATGGGGAGAAGGTAGGAGAATGAGGTTGAGAAACATATGAGCCATTATCTAATGGCAGAGCAGACTTGATGGGCCAAATGGCCTAAATCCTGTTCCTCTACATTATGGCCTTGTGGAGATCAGAAGAGTAAGGGTGATTCGTTTAAGTTTGTAAGATCCTGAAGGGTCTTGACATGGTGGATGCATGAAGGATGTTTCCTTGAGTCCAAAGCTAGGGGTCACAGTTTTATAATTAAGGCTCATCCTTTTAGGACAGTGATGAGGGATTTTTTTTCTTTGTCAGAGGTCTGTGTGTCTGTGGAAATCATTACTTTAGAAGGTTGTTGAGGCAGGTTCATTGAATAATTCTTTTCTGTTAAGGGAATCAAAGGTATCAGGATAGCTGGGAATTTGTAATTTAGAACTTAAGCAGGTCTGCCATGATTTTATTGAATGGTAATGGTGCAGCAGGCTTGAGGGACTGAGTGGCCTATTTCAGCTCCTCTTTTGTGTGCTTGTAAGGAAACCTAGAACAAAACAACAAAGAGAAGCAGGAATAGGCCATTTAACTCCTTAAGCTTGCTCTGCCATTCAATAAGTTCATGGTTGATATAATCTAGGCTTTAACTTCACTTTCTTCCCTGTTCCCTCAAATTGTTGGTTCTATCTCAGTCTTGATTATGTTTAATGGCATAGCCTCCCAAATCTCTGGGATAGAGAATTCAAAAGTCACAATACTGTGAGAAAATAAATTTCTGCTTAAATAGATGCCTTATTCTGAAACTATCTCTGTCTCTTAGTTCTTTAAATTAAAAACATTTTAGGGTGTAACCCACACTTCAGATTCATCGATCTTTTGTGTTGGCCCAACGGATTCTGCTGAGATTGTGCTTCATAACTCATGGAAACTGGTGAAAACTCTATCCCTTTTGCTGAAATTGTGGAGAGTGAACCAAGCTCAGACGCTTCTAACACAGCAAGGAGAATTCCAGAAATTAAGCCAAACTAACTGCCCTAATTATAGAACAGAAATAATACACCACAGGACTACTTGTTATCTATGGATGTTATACTAAATACAAAGGGAATGGTTTAGAACATATTTTGGTCTTCCAATTTTGTTTAGAACGTGGAACAGCTTACCACAGACAATTATGAAGCAAATCCATAACAGGATTTAAAAATAAAATTGATAATGTCTTATAAAGTAACATTTTGCAAGTTGTGTGGAAAGGAGAGAGAAATAAGAATAAGTGAAAAGCGCTTTCAGGAAACCAGTATGGGGGTGATGGACTACATAACATTCTATGATTTTATGGTACAGACTAATTGTTGTTTTCATTATAAATAATTTCATCTGTTAGGCTGTACACTAATTGTCTGTGTCATTGCTACACAGGGACTAGGTCAAGATTTTCATGTCCTGGATGTCCAATAACTCAGCTGGACCACTCTGACTTACATGAAATAATTGCTCTTGCTATTGCAAAGTTTAACACCGAGAGCAACTATACTAATTACTTTCAGCATGACATTGTTTTCAAGTTCACTTATCAGGTTAGATCTTTCTTTGCAAGCATGTCAACAATTAATGTATTTTCTTTTTGTATTTCTGAGAGATCTTATTCTGATCGTCTTCTAGAACACCTTATTTCCCAGCTAAGCAGGGGAGACCAACTCAATCCAGAGTCAAGACTAACCATTAACATGACTTATTGATCACTCTACATTTCTTTAAAACAAAAGGAACCATTTAATAGTTTCATCGGTGCCCATTAAATCAGCTTCATAATAAATTGGACCTTTTGGTATGAAAATCTTTGAGAAACTACTTACTGTTGCCGAGATGCTTAAGAATTCTAACGTATTTTGATGTTCTTCCCCAGCCCAGCATAATTGGTGGAATCTGCAAAGTTGTAGGTGGCACTGAGTATAGATAGCATAACTCATCCTACATGGGTTAAAAAGGCTTGTAATAGGATTAATGTAGAATAGACTTTCCAGCCAAAGATCAAAGACATTAAGCTGTGAAATTCTGCTGCCTTCAGCATTTAACAGATATTGCACTTAATCTGTGAGTAGAGCTCCAGGCTATCAACTGGTCCACATCAGGTCTGTGTACCATGGCCACACCAGCTCACTATCTGCAAAACTATTGTCATATTGTCTGGCTCTTATACCCTGCTTTGTATCTCCAAAGTAAATTGTAAATAAAAATCATCAGGTGCTGGGATCTACTACTACTTTTTATTTGCTTGTTGTCTTGAGAAAATTCAACTTCACATTATTTGGATGTTTCAAAGGCCCAGATAGTCACCTTCTCAATCTGTTGATTTATGTTAAATTTGCAAACTGACTTTAATATCTTTTTCTTCCACATTTTCTGCAGTATTTTTAAAGAGTCTGTAAAACCTAAACATGGAGCCAATGTGAAGACCATTGCAATGATAATTATGTACAATAATGATACATTTCACTGAAACTTTGCAATAATAAAACTATCTTTCTAATCAGGTGGTGGCTGGAATGAAATATGAAATGAAGTTTACAATTCAGGAAACTGAATGCAGCAAAGAGAATTCTGACAATATTGCTGCTAACTGTAATGCAAAGGCTGATGGTGTAAAAGTGAGTAACTTGTAAATATCAACCTTGCTTCTCTTCTGCTTATGAAAACCTTATGGACCACTCACATGCAAGATAGTTTCAAACATCAGAATTATCTTAGTTTTTTTTCCCCAAGTGGCAGCACGTAACACTCCACAGTTCGTGGTACCCTTATGTAAGGGGAAAAGGCCAAAGAGCAGCTCAAAATGACAGCCACCCTGACCTGCCTGACCCCTCAGCTCCAACTGCTGTAACCACACTCCAGGTTCAAACTTTAAGCAGGCATTTTCCCTGGTTATTTTGAATACACACTGGGCAGCTCTTGCTTAATCTTTGAGTAATGTTTACAACCCTGTGGGGCATTGATGCTGATGTGCTGATCCTGCCTTTGGCAGATCCTTTAAAAATGAGTGCAATATCAGTGCGTGAGCTGGAGTCTGTGAATTTGGGAATGAATGAAGCTGTTTCGTTATTGTTATTGTCTTCCTGTATTTCCAGCACTTTGTTTTCCCCCAGTGTCAGGTCAGGCGGCAGCACTTGAATGGTGGTAAGCAAGAAGCACATACTTACACCATCTAATGCTTGTAACCCAGGCAAATTTGTTGCACAAAGGTGAAATAGGATATGAGAACCATAAAATCAAAGAATATCTACAGCCCCGCAAAAAGCCATTTGTCTTGTTCAATCCAGAATAGCTGTCCAAAAGGTCAATTTAGTTAGCCCCAGTCCTTTGCACATTATATGTAACCTTACAAAATGATTTCCCTCAAGTACTTATCAATTCCCTTTTGAAAGTCACAATTGAATCTGCCACCATTACACTTTTAAGTAATGAATTTCAGATCATAACTACTCGCTATGTCATAAAAATGTTTTCTCATGTTACCTTTTCTTCTCTTGTCAATCACCTTAAATCTGTGCTTGGGGGTTCTCCTCCCCTCTGTCAAAAGGAACAGTTTTTTGTCCATTTACTCCCATTTTGAACACTTCTTCCACTCTTCCCTTAAGCATCCTTTTTCTGTGGAGAACATTCTCCACCTGGTCAATTTGTCTAACTAATGTCCCTTATCCTTCTGACATTCATATCAATATTTTCCGCAGCCTGTTTAAGGTCCCGATTTGCCTTCTAAAGTACAATGCACAGAAATGGATTCAATCCTGTACATGAGTCTGAATGTTTTTTAAAAAAAAGGTTTATTGTAATTTTGTTCCTTTCGTATTCTGCCTCAAAGCCCAGGATCTCAATGCCTTTTTAAACTTACTTCCTAAATGTTCTACCACCTTCAACAAATTGTGCATATATCCCTACATTTCTGCCACTGCATCTTTATTAACGTATTCTTCAATGTAATTTGCCAATTCAGTTTAACCAGTTATCTTTCATATCTTCAAAATTGCCCCTTTTTAAAAAAATATCTTGGTCTCACTCCTCTCTCCCTCAAGCTGAAACTTCAAATCATTATGGCAGCTGCTATCTAAGGGCACCTTCACTATGAGATCATTAATTAATCCTCTCAATTCACACAATACCTGATCTACTGTAAACTGCTCTCTGATCAGCTCTAGAATTTGCTGTTCTAAGAAACTATCCTGAAAACATTCTATGAACTCCTCATCTAGCTATCTTTGCCCATCTGACTTTTCCAGTCAATATGTAGATTAAAATCTCCAATCATCATTACTGTTCTTTTCTGACAAGCTCTCACTTCTTCCTTTATGCCCCTCCCTACTGTCTGTTTACTGTTAGGGGCTCATTTCTCTTTAGCTGAGACTATTCTTTGATTTAACACTTCTAAAATTTGACCCCTTGCCTCCACAATTCAGTTTAAAATCCTCTATTTTCCTGGTTCATAGCTCGGGTGCAGACTGTTCCATTGCTATGGATCACTCTTTCCATGGAAATGTGCCAATCTCCACAAACCCATTTCTCCCACACCAGTGCTTTTTCTCTCTAAAATTTCTCTTTTTCCCCAAAGCCCATCTGTAAATGGCTCAGGTAATAATCAAGAGTTTATTACCTTTGAGGCTCTGCTTCTCAATTTAATGTCTAGCTCCTCGTACTGACTTTATGGAACTTCCTTCTTTTTCCTGCCTATGTTTTTGGCACCTATGTGGACCATTATGACTAGATCCTCTCCCTCGCACACAAATTTCCTGTTCAGTTCTGAGCAGATGTCCCAACTCTAGCACTAATGACACGAAGGTCATCAGTGTACAGAAATTACTTATATCACCCACGACCAGAAAATATCCCTTCTGAGCAAGAGAGCACGCTTTGCCCTAAAAATCTTGAAATTTGAGGAAAGATTCCAACTAAGAAGACATTTACCAATGATGAACTTGACATAGGTCAGAGAACAAGAAGCTGGTCTCAAAAGAATGTCAGCTGAACCAAGAAAGAACCACACACCAATTGTGACCAGCTATATTGATATCAAACAACTTTCATAGTTCCAAGATGTAATTTACAGCAGATTTTATTGAGCTAAAAGAACTGCTTTCTTGTTCTTAATATAAGAAAAACCTTCAAGATGTGATGTCCAGAAAACTCTGGTAGAACAACTATCTGAACCATTGGTGAACTCTTCATATAAGTGGTTCAAGAAACACAACCGTTTTCAGAGAAGAGAATGGCCATTCAGCTTTCCCACAATTCCTGCTGAGCTGAATCCACTAATGGGCTTGGGATTCCATTGCACAACTGTGTTAATAGATCTGAATGCTTTAAAGCATGATATGCATGGTCATTTGCTGCACTGCTTCAGAGGTAGACCAGATGGCTGAGCTGTCAATCAACAAAACCTTCAATGTACTGTACTAGGTAAAGCTAACTTAGTAAAATCTGAGTTGCCATATTTTTCAATGCAGTAGATCACTTTTTCCAGTGGGTAACCTACTTTCGTGCATCTAAAGACTCTTCCTTCCACAATTTAACAGTCACTTAATTTTTCTAAAATGCCCTGTCAAAATCCTTGTAGTAAGAACTCATTTTATTTTATCGTACAACATTATATACAATAAATACATTTTGAATTTGCCTTTCCCAAGAATACCTGAATCCATTCATTTAAATTTAAACCTTGGAGTAGGTTTCATATAATTCAGTTTGAAAAGGGAGGATATTGGGTCATCTACTATTATCCTAGGATTAATGCTAACTGACTCCTAGAGACAGAAGGCCCAGTAATTAGACTTTGGAGAGGAACAATAATTGGGTGACCAATGGCCTTTTTGGATTGAAAGGGAGTGGTGTGGGGTGAAGGAAAATAAAAATCTTGATTGGTCAAGGACATGTCCCTAATCCTCATTTCCCTATTTATGCTGTGATTTTCCTCCACTGTATGGATAATTTCATGTGGTGCTATACAGGAAAATATAGGAAATAACTGAAGCTGGAAAATAACACTGTCACTGGTGTAATAAGTGTTAACAGCCTTACTTTCTGGATGTAGAAGCTAAGGTTGACATGCTACTGTCCTGAACCATCTCACATTGGTATGAAATGACTAAAAAAAATGTAATTTCTTCTGTGAAAGTAATGTATAGCAGAATTTCATATGAATGTAATAAGTATTTGTCTTGTAATAGCATTTTATCCAACAGGTTACTGAGTGGATTAATTTTAAGGAGATTAATATTGCCTTCTAGTGTGTGGGGAACAGCCATTTTAATAATTATTAAAGTTTATAAATCAACAAGTTTGCTAAGATAGCATAAAACCATAAGATACAGGAGCAGAATTAGACCATTTTGCCCCACCAAGTCTGCTCCACCATTCTCAATGATATGTTTCTCAATCCCATTCTCCTGCCTTTTCCCAATAATACTGGAACTCCTTACCAATCAAGAAAATATTCATCTCTGTCTTAATTGCACTCAATAACTTGGCCTCCACACTCGTCTGTGGCAATGTGTTCCAAAAACTAACTACCCTGTGGCTGAAAATATTCTTCCTCATCTCAGTTCTAAAGGGTCGTCCCTTCACTCCGAGGTGGTGCCTTGGGTCCTAGTCTCTCCTATTAGTGGAAGTATCTTCTTCACATCCACTCTATCCAGGCCTCTCAGTATCCAGTAAATTTTAATCAGAACCCCCCACATCCTTCTGAACTCCATTGAATGCAGGCCCAGGATCGTCAACCCTGCCTCATAACAAGCCTTTCATCCCTGGGATGCTTCTCGTATGCTTCCTCTGGACCCTCTCCAATGCCAACATATCTTTCCTCAGATACGCGACCCAAAACTGCTCACAATATTTCAAATCCAGTCCTGAACAGCCTCAGCAGGACATGTCCATTCCTGTATTCTAACCCTCTTCAAATGAATGCTAACTTTGCATTTGCCTTCTTAACTGCCAATTCAACCTACATAACACATGTACTATCTGGGAAATCTAAAATCTTTACCTTTTGTGAGGTTAATTTGTTTTAAAATGAATCATTTGTTTTGTGTTATAGCTGTTCTGTCACTCAAAAGTGTTTACGCAGGTTTGGTTGAATTACACGGAGGTGGATATAACCTGTACCCATGAGCCATTTCCGGTAATTTTAAAAGTTATTCTTTCTCTAATGTGTTAAACTCCATATATTATATTTTTAGCCAGCATTTGAAGAACGATCTATTTATAATTATTTTAACAAGCTGATTATTGCTCGTTAGTTGAACTTGCCAGCTAGTCAGAAACAAATTGCTTTCAATTCTAGTAAGTCTGAAATGCAAGGAAACTTATTGGAGTGAATCTCGTGCTTTTTTGGGCTAAGTGCAAGTTGCATGGAGGTTTTTGGAAGGTTTCTTGCCATCCCATTGAGATTTCTTACTCAATCTTAACTCATTAACTAAAAGCTAAGTACCATGAATGCTGGAAATCTGAAATTAAAACAGAAAGTGCTCCAGAAACTCAAAAGGTCTGGCAGCATCTGTGGAGAGAGAAACAAAGTTGATGCTTCAAGTCTGGGATGACCTCTTCTTTGGAACTTGAGAAAAATTTCTGAAGATTGTACTTGAAGTGTCAACTCTGTTTCTTGAACTTCATTAATTGTCTTCCTTGCCTTAGTGGCCCTTATGTTAATTCTCGTCAATCTTTTTGCCCACTCTTCCCAGAGTAACTTGCCTCTAAGCGGTTATCCCTAAATGACAAGTAACCCTGGAGCCCTCTGCAGCCATCTCTAAAAAGCCACTTTGCACCTAGTCAAGCATTGGCAATCTGTCATTGCCCTTCACAGCATTCACAAAGCCATGCTGCTTGTGGCACACAGTCTCTTACACATATAACCACATTCTCTCACCCTAGTCACTGTTTACCCACCAGATCACACAGTTTACCTTCGCTACATCCCATCTAAACACTCTATCAAGGTTACTGCTGCCCTGTTCACATACCGACTGGAGACCTGCATCTTGTCATGGTCCAGTAGGGGAACATCAGATACAGCTGGTCAATTGGACAGGTCCAAAAATGATCTTTTCATCTGTAGCCACCAACAGCAAACAAAAAACGCAGACTTTGTAAGTCACCCCCCCAACCCTCCTCAACAATGCAGAGCAAATGCTGGCATTGATGGCTAAGTGACACTCCATGATGGTCCACTGCACCAAGCTCTGATCTGATGGAACCAGATGTTATTCAAGTCTTAGGAGATAGTAGGAACTGCAGATGCTGGAGAATCTGAGATAACAAGGTGTAGAGCTGGATGAACACAGCAGGCCAAGCAGCATCAGAGGAGCAGGAAGGCTGATGTTT